CGTTGAATTGATGGGGGTATTCAACTGAGGTACTCACGCTCAGTTCAACTCGACTGTCATTAGCGGCTCGATGACAGATGGCGGCGCCATGTAACTCCGGCTGATCGCGATTGAGTCAACTGTCGCTCACTCAATGGCAGTTGAGAGCGCCCGTGTAACTAGGGTATCGCACGCTTTCGCCAGCACTCGACTTTGCGTTTCCCATTCTGAATTCATTCCAAATTCAAGTTCGGAAAATCAAATATTTCGAATTTTTTCGAGTTCGAAAAATGAGAAAGTTTCGATTAAAAGTTCGAAGTCTGCATCTCATGAATGGAAAACTAAATTCCTCAGTTTCCAACTACGTTTTCATGAATTTATCTAAAAATAAATTCGCGAAGTGTGCTGCAAATGTTACTGAAAACATTGCCCAATTCTTTTACGCCGTGAATATATCCTTTTCTCAGTGCTGTGGTACTCACGGTACTACCTGTATTACTCATTATCTGTCGCAACTTATGAAACATCCGTTGGACTGGTTGAACGGTTCATCGAAAAGCCCTGAAACGGTCAGGTCAAGGTACTTTCTAATTATATGCAAACCAGTAGCAATTCGATCAAACTTCACCTAAATTTAACCGTCATCTTGTAAACCCTGAGATGGGGAACGATAAAAAAACGGACGAACACAACAAAATCTCAAACGCAGCTGAAGTTTTATTGATAGAAGCATACCAATAAATAGACTTTTACACAAAAGGAAAAGAGAAAGGGCAACAAAAACTCAAAAGCAAAAACAAGACGGCCAACGCGTTCACCCCAGACGGCCTAAGCCACTCCCCGGCTCCAACAAACCCCGGAAAGGGCGCCGACCACTCGAACAACAACAACCCCACGGTCACCACACATGGTGACCTCCAAACCGCTAAAGCCTAATCCCCAAATTTCTTACTCGAAGCAAACGCTTCCCGGTCCCCCCCCCCCCCCCCCCCCCCCCGCCTTTTTCAAGGTTTGCAAAGCTTCCGTCAAACAAGCAGAAACTCTTTCATTCGATCAGTGATCACCAAGGACGGCTGGCTGACACAATTCTCCCGCTCGCGAATGCATAAAGTCTCCTTAATTAGCCTTCTAAACAATTCTTTTTCGTTACACAACACAGAAGTCTTTTCCCAAAGAGGGGAACAAAAATTACAAGAACTAACATGATTAACCAATTCAGAATTCTGCGCCAAATTTTTTACACACCTTTTATGCTCCCCAAGTCGGTCATTCAAACAACGGCCCGTCTGACCAACATAACACAATCCACAGTCAAAGGGGATCTTGTAGACTACCTCTGTGACACAGGAGACTGAGGGATCTCTGTGTTTTTTCCCGCAACATCGCTCACGTCTGAAGGAAAACGGAGTAAGCCTGTCTAAACGGAAGTCCGTCCTAAAAACTACATTAACGTTAAACTTCGCACCTGAACATGCAGGACAATGCATTTACATAAAGGCATGCACACAGTCTTCCAGAAAATATTTAGTTCCTTTGGGTGCTTATATTCGGCAAAATAACCCGTGTGATAAAAAAAAAACACAAAAAAAAAACATTGAACACAAGCACAGCACACAACACAAGTCAGGGTTGAAAGGAATGCAGCCAGACTAAATTTGGGGACCACATGGCCTAAAACAGCTGATCACGTACTATCGCGCACAATATGAGCTGAAACAGCGCTCCGGCCGGCGGACGGTACTACCTGCGCCGCCTGTCGCCTTGCTGCGCACACATGGCGCACCCTGAATCCGGGATATTTTCTCACTTGCGCTCGCTGCGCCACTGCGCTCTTCCGGCTGTCTGCAAGCGAGAGGGTGGGCGCGACAGCGGGCATGTAGAGTAGGGCGGCGGGGGGAACAAAAGATTACACTTGTCGTTCCCCTTTTGGGATTGATTTACTTTACTGTATCGCGTAAAATCCCGTAGAAAAAACGCTGACTGGTGAAGAAAAAATATTGAAGTGTACTAAATTTCAACTGCGATTACCGTTTTTGAAAGTCATATCAAAATACGCTGCAGGCTGTTTTTGTTTGATTATAGGTGCATGCTTCAAAGGGGACATCGTAAAATAGAGGCCAAAATCTGTATGCCGGATTTAGTCCGGCTCCAATGTATTTATTCTTTTTTTCCCTTTCACTGATCACATATGTTCAAAAAACGGTAAGCATACAAGTTACTGAGAAGGTTTTGTAACCTTGATTAGTATGAAAAGGTATAAAAATATTATTTCTTCATTACTGGGCTCACATGTTTGTTTCAAGCAAAACAAGTTGCTAAGGAGACACCAGTTTTTTGTTTACGAATTTTTAGCCTTAATAAGGTGGGAAAAACAGTCATATGTTTGTCAAGAGAAGGAGATTGAAACTTAATCGAAAAAATATTTGCAGAGGACATTGTCAGACACAAAAGATTAATAGTCGACGTGGAAGTTCAACTGCACTATACAAGAAGATCGGGATGAAGGAGGCACCCCTCAAAAGTATGCGTGGTTAACGGCGTCAAACAGGGTGCCACAACCGTAAGATCAAGCTTTGTTCCAATCGGCAGAAGTCCAGTTCAGGGGTCCCGAGGTGCAGTAAAACTTGCAAAATAATTTAATACCGCGTCATTCTCCCTTGACTCCGGACCACGGCTCTCATCCTGTCTGGTAAGAAATCATAGAGCGCGGCCACGAAGTCTGGCTCAGCCCCGAAGCCACTCCCACTCACCTCCCATTGCTTTCCACAATTTGTAGGCAGTGGCGCGGTGGAGGGGACACCGTGACATAGCTACCTTGATGCGCCTCCAAATGTTTTCGATGATATTCAGATCGGCTCCTTTTAGGGGCCAAGGCAGCTTCGTCAGGCAGCGCTCCTCGAGGAGATACGAGCGTGACAGCACATTTTCCACTTCGGCGATTTCTTGAATTAAACTGAAATTCATGGTAGCTGAAGACGTGAACATTGGGCTAGCAAACGGCCGGAAGAGCGCAGTGGCGCAGTGAGCGCAAGTGATAATTTATCTCGGCCTCAGCGTCCGCCGTGTTTCGGGAGCGATGCGACAGGCGGCGCAGGTAGTACCGTGCACAGGCCGGAGCGCTGTTTCAGCTCATATTGTCCACGATAGTACGACCGGTTGTTATCAGGCGAACCATATTGCCGCTGCTTGGAACTTTTCTTTTTCGATAAATGGAGATATTGTCCACTCTAAAATGCAGCCGGTTACTACAGATAACGAAGTTTATCATTACCATTCGTTTATCAGAGGGGTTTACCCGCCGATAAACTAACACTCCTTCTTGCTGCCAGGGCCGTCAGCTCCGCCTCCCTCTCCGATAAGGAGAGAGACGGCGGCGATATGTTGTGAGTCATATGGTGGAAATTTGGGCGTGTTGGTTGTACACGTTTAACCAAAAAGTAAAACAGCGCAAAAAAAAACAAAACAAGAAGACGAAGTGCATAAAAAAAGCACTGACTCTGAACTGATTTATTTGAATGAAACACAAATCGACAAGCATCACGGATCCTCAAAAATCATCAAGTCACCGCTCCCCGCACGTGTTAAACCTAGCTGCTAGAGAATGCCAACTCTGTCACATAATGCTATAGAAGGCGAACTGATGTACACTGTGATAGGTGCGGTTGCAAGCACGTTTCTTGATAAAAAAAAAAAAACGAGTATTTTCGGAGAACACAGTCAGCAAATGACTACAGAAATTTTAAAAGCTTTTTTTATATTTCGAAGCAAAAAAAAAAGCGTTTGGCATTCTTGAGGAGGTTTGACGCGTGCAGGTACAGTGATTTGATGTATTTTTGAGGATCCGTGATGCGCGTCGATTTGTGTTTTCTCTCAATCAACCAGTGGAGAGTCAGCGCTGTTTATACACTTAGTCTTCTTGTCCTCCGTTATATTCGGCGCTGTTTTACTTTTTCGCTAAACATGTTCTGAGTCAGCGGCGTCACTGGGGTCAGCGAAACCTGGGTCGCCCATACGTAACGGCCGCCATTACCGGCGCCGACGTTTGTTCACCCCAAGCCCCCCTCCTGACATGTGCGAGGGCGGCGCTTAGTCAGAATCGTCCATAACCTCCTCTCCCGCCTTCGCGTCTTCTTTCTCATGCGCAGAACTCGAGAATGAGGCGACATGCGAGGCGTATCGAGCCACTGAGCTCGGCGGCGAATAACCTTTGAGGAAGACGGGTCATATCTGATCAAGGCAGACAAGCTATCATATATGTACGCGTCATTGCCACGTGCCTATCCCTTGCCCCTTTCGGCTATAAATTACAACATGAAATGAACCAAGGTAGCAAAGGTGCGATACAATGCCACTGACCGCGAAACACTTCCTTTGCTTTCCCTTCTTTAATACTCTTACTTAACCGAGTTGTCCAATCTTATCGGCCCACTCAAGGCCGATAGTCACAGCATCGCATCCCTCTGATATTACCATAACTTTCAACCGTATCTATGTCTATGAAGTACTGCTGGCGCAATGGTTTTCGTGACTGTGACAACAAGGCTAACGCAAACATTGAAATTGAAGTTTTGCGAGTGACTACGGGGATCAAACTTCTCCGGAGCACGCATAAAAAAAAGCTCTCCGGATCAGACGTGTCACCCGCCCCGTCTTTTTGACACGGAGCCAACGGACCGGTTCGCTCAGCGAGCGCTTCGCCGGCTTCAGGATTCAGATCAACACGCCGCACGCAGAGAGATCGTTCGCATTTCTCGAGAGCTACGGCGTGTGTGTGTGCAGACGACGTAGTTGGAAAAGGAAGGGGAGGCAACCCTGGGTGTAGGCTCATAGGCCAGTCTGTCGGGAATCCGATCGCAGAGCGCGCGCCGAAAGCACGATATCTACCATGAGGACGGGCGTTTCGTTGATAATTCTTATAGTTTCGGAATCGCGCCGAGGAGCCCGCAAAGCACGTAATAAAATGATAATGCCTATAAAGCACGTATGAAACCGCTTGAATGGTCAAAATGTAAACGCTTTACCTTTCACGCGAAGACGGCCGTGGGTTTTGAACGAAGATCCAGCTAGCGTGGAGTCAACCAGAATGATATCACACCCAGTGGCGCCTGTAGTGTTGTAGTACGCTATCTGTACATCAGATGGCGCCTTGATGGATAGTGTGTGTTGTTAAAACAAGATGGCGCCATGATCCTTTCTGCGGCACGCGCCGTGTCTCATATATGGGTAAATTACTTTCAAAATACAGTTTAATTAGAATTACAATTCCTTTGCTCCAAATGTCGTTTTATTACAATTACTCATACATGAAAGGTGATTTATTACAATTACTACTACATGAAAGGTAATTTATTTCAACTACAAATTACTGTGCAATTACGTATTTCTGGGAGCGACCCGACCTGGAAAATATAAATTTAAACGAGATGTTTAGAATGCAGCGCATTTGTTCATTCCTTGCCCAATGTTTGAGGAGGCTCAACGATCGCTGTTCACGTATTGTACTTTTCTCTTGTGAATTTTGTTAAATTATTGATAGAACTTGACCGTATGGGGTAATGCAGTTCTAGGCTCTTACATTTTCAATAAATAATGAATTAGTTTATATGCTCGAAAACGCCAGATCGCTAAAATAAAACTGGCTTGACCCACATTTGACAAGTAAACGTTTTGTGTTAGTGTAAATTATTTACATTGAGTGGAAATTATATTGGCTCAGAAATATACAAGAACTGAATTGGGGCTGCCGAATCAATGGTGAGTATATTCACAGATGCGAGGTCAATCTCAAAAATACTTATGCAACTAATACCCGAAGTAAAACCAACAGGAAATAAACTTTAGAATAATACAACAAAACAGATATGCGACAGAAATGCAAGAGGGACGTAAAAAACTTAAAAGAAGAAAAATAACTTCGTAGACAACTAAAATCCCCAACCTCGGCTAAAAGCTGAAGCTCAATTTTGTTTCTTTCTATATTTTGGCATGTTTAAGCTATTGTTTTCTGCTCACACTACAGACGGCGCCAAGCGGCGCCGATGAGGTAGGCTCGAAAGAGGATTGTTCCTTAGCCCGCAGGTATGAGCAGCAAAACAACAAACGCAACACTATTCTTCTTGTGCGTGTGTGTGAGTACATGTCTGTGTGCGCGAGTGTGTCGTCAAGCGCTAGGACGCTTGTGCGAGTGCTGAGGCTTTCAGAGACGTTCCGTCGGCGCGGCAGTCTTGCAAAAGTAATTGTCATTGCGCTTGAAATTTTTCCATTACTGACGCTAGAAGGTAAATAAATTACAATTACAATTCCTTTTAGCCGAACGTAGTAAGTTACCATTACAAATTATAAAGTAATTAAATAACAGTAATTGAGCTACTGTAATTAAATTATTATCCAGGTGTGCCATGAATGCGTGTAGATATTGTGAAAAGAACCAGTATCATTCCAACTCCGAGATGGTCTGACGCGTCTTCCTCTATTCGGTGTGCCCGCTCGGTCCCGGGCCGCCTGCTTCGTGTCCCACGTGCCAGGCCATGTAAGCCTTCCCATCGTTTCATAAGCCTTCCGAGGCTCTGGCCTTTCCGTAGCTTTTATGTCTCTTCCCACCCTTTCATGGTGGCTCTCCATGACCACTCTAGTCCCACTTACAGTAAAATGGTATACGGTGGTCCCACTCAAGGCCACTTCCGGTGATCGGGCGTTGACAGCGCCCGAGAGCAGTATGGGGAACTATAGCTCCTTTTTTTTTCTTTGTTATTTGATTTATTTAAAATGTCCCAATTGTACGAATTCCTTATACTTACGTTATTAGTTTTAGAAAACATTCGTAACCGCGCGGAACCATCATGGTTTTGTATAGTAAGACAAAAATAGCAGTGGCCGTTAACCACCGTTAGGCCCATTAGCTCAATTGGCCTTCAAGAGTTCACTGCCCTGCGGCCCGCTTCTCCGAAGCCATGTTTTTAGAGTTCAGCGGTTCCGTTGTCGGTGATCGCTAGGCGAATATCTATTTCTAAGGGGCATTTATTTCCCTTTCAGTTAGCCTCGCTTGGTGTTTTAATTTGACGTGCGTTTCCGAATCGCGATGCAAAATTGTCCCAGAGGGGCCTCCTTGGGCAGAAACCGACCAATCCATTTATTTGACCTGATTGGGAATCTGTTCCAAGTTCATTACAGGTAGCCGCATACATAATTTATTGTGTTCATGGTATACCCTCCGTGCAACACCAGACACGAATGTGTTTTTCTCCAATGGAGTGCACAGGCGTAGCAAGATTAACGTTATTGGCTAGTGCGCGTTACGTGCGTCCGTGCGCTATACGACATGACTGGAAGACGCGACTCGAACGTGATTACTTGTTCACGCTTCATAATATCCGGGTAACTTACACGGAACAAAAGATTCACACCGCTTTACTCGGAAAATAAAAAGTTCCGTGGCAAATCCGGTTGCACACGAACGAACTTGCGTCTTGCACTTCTGCAAAATAATAATAAAAGAAAGCTAGCAACAAATTGCACACTTAGAAAAACAAAATTAAGTCGGCGCCGCTCTAAAAAGTCAATTTATCAGTTATTATATTTACATGCAAGCAAAGAAGTTGACAAGGTACACATATCTGAATGGATCTAGAGCCCGGTGTACCGTTGAAGAAATTGAACGCAGAGTCACCTCTAGAAATAGCGTATCGTATATATATGTCAGTTTCTGATATTCACACAGTTCATGTCATGTCAGAATTCCTTGTGAGCACGGAAACGTCTCGAAACCCGCCGTTCAATATGGGTCCAACCCTAGACGTCGTCTATCTCTGCCAAACATGGCGCACAGTAAGGTACACAATTATTACTTGTGTATTCTATAAGTGAAAGGTACATGCAACTTTGTACACTCACTGTATGTTATTACTTCCTTGTTCCAGCATGATGGTTCCTCAAAGAAGTAAAGAGACAACTGAGAGCCACCCATGAGTGAAGGCAAGCTTATAGGGCTTCACAACCAAGACAAGGGCGGTCAGCAGCCAGGGGATCAAGTGAAAAAACTCAAGAGGTCGTCTGGGCCACAAGAGGACAAGCAGAGACCGTATGACGGGAAAGTTAGAAGCTGTGTCTGCTCGTAGGCACATACAACCTCAGCTTAGTCAGCGCGGGCATTTCCTGGTCATCATTATTGCGGCCAATATGAGCTGAAATGCCATGATGTGCGGTTCGGGGAAGTATCAAAGCCGTGTGTCATATTTCTTCTGAAAACTGCGATGCCCGAAGTGACCAAGAGAAGCTCTCTTCTGCGGTCGTCGACCTATGTGTCATCTGCTATTGAGGAAGTAAAGGCAATATCTATTTGCTTAATGGACCTTCAAAACCAATATATTGCCGCGAGCGCAGCTGATCTAATAGGCAGCGCGCCCGTGGCCTAACGATTATCGCGCTTGCCTTTCACGCAGAAGGCCAGGGTTGGATTCCTGGCCGCGGCTACACATTTTTGTTGACACTAGAATGTGATGTTCCGGTAAATTCGAGAACCGTCTTGTTGATTCGAGGTTAGAATGTTCTACGCGCCGAACGTTCTACGCCAGATGCTCCATAAGCCCACGCGTGTACAAAAGCTGCTCCGCCCCAGCGTTCGACTCTGCTGTTACGCCAACTTCGACGCCCGCGACGCTTTGGTATTATCTTCTGTACCCTTTCATTTTTGGCACAAGTTCGCCCTCATTAAACGTTTAGTTTCGTCAGTTATTATCGCCTCATCACTTGTCATTCGTGACAATATGACATGCCTATAAATCTACAGCAAACTTTCTGGAAACAATTTTACGGTGCCCCCACCTCTCATCACGCAGGGATCAGTCCACAGTTGAGTGTCTCAAATACAGGTATCTCTCTGCATTAGCCAGAGACACATTAAAAACCGTCAAAAATGCCGACAGAAGTAAGCCACACATCTGACCATTAAAGTGCATTGGCTGATGGCAATAGTGGAGAAGGTCGTTAGCGACTATGAATTGCATAACTCATGCCTGAAGGGATGAAGGTCAACTAAGTGTTCCAGCACACAAAAGGCGTTCTCGAGCAGCGACGGACGCGCAGAACCGCCAGCTCGTCGCAGTTCTGTCGGTGCACCCTTTCCAACTGGAGCGGGCATTTAATAAATTATACTAAAAAAGCACCAGGGCCGGTTAGGATAAGTAACTGTTTTCTCAAAAAAGATTCGCAGAATGGATCACAAAATATTTCTATCTCTTCTGCACTGTCAAGTGCCGACGGACTGGCTAGTTGCCAAAGTTATTCCAACATCCAAAAGCTGAAAACAAGCCACATTTGAACAACTGTCGTCCTATTTCGCTTACCTCGACATGCTGTAAACTATTGAAACACGTATTAAAGGGGGGGTGCAACGATTTCCGGACTTCGGTCAAAGATTCCTGGAAGTTGCCCTCTGACACTTCTGAAGTAAAGAACAGAAAGCCGATTTCGCCTGCGTGGCCTAGTTGCTGCGTAAAAAAAAGATAAATATTGGCATTTCGGGCACCCCTCAACTCACCCCCAGCCTTCAGGGTCACACCTGATCCCCCTCCTAGTGACGTCTTTCGGAGTGCCGTGTAGGTACCCGTGTGCTATCCCGGAGGACGCTTCCTCTCCCTCTGTCTGCTGACATTAGCGGGCGTTAGGCTGCAGCTTAGAGCCGAGCGAGGTCACGTAATCTTTTCGCCGTAGTTCCTTCGGTTGCCACTTGGGGCTGCAGTTGGGAGAAAAAGCTCGACTTTTGCTTTGCGATTATGCAGCGAAATCGCGGCATTTTTAATGAAGGAGGTGTTTTTTCTATTCTCCGGGAAACGATAAACAACGTAAAAATGACGAGATGCAAATTCTTTTAATCATAAAATTGTTGCACCGTCCCTTTAAGTAAAGACATAAAAACTTACATGGAAGAAAATAACCTATGTTTTTTGTCATCAGCATGGGTCTAGAGCTTCTGTTTTTACGGTCCCACAGCTGAGTGATATAGTGCATGATTTCGCGGAAGTGATTAACAATATAGGTCAAATAGATGCAGTTTTTATTCATTTATCGAAGATCTTCAATAGGGTGCTTCACAGTAAGTTAACTCATGAGCTTCAGGC